AGGTGCCTCCTCAACAATGACTGTGTCACATGGTTTACGGATCCTGGGATTATGCTGCATTTGAATGAACTCCTTCACTGTGCAACAAAGTGGGTGTTTTTCCCCTAACAGTGAGGATTAGGGTGTTTATCGCATCAGAGGGGTGAAGCAGCAAAAGCACACTGGGCCATAACCCAGAAGTTGATGGATTGAAACCATCCTCTGCAACAGCCTTGTCTGTAAGGAAAGGAGCAGCACAGAAGAGAGGCAAGTGCATCCCCTTAACTGAACAAGCCCTCTCGTTAGGCAACCGGGTGCCATGCTTACCTCCCCCAGTGGTCTCCTGTCTTTCCACAAATTTCACAAAGAGCCGTCTGCATGGACAATCCAGGGCTCTGTGTCTACAGAACACACAATGGTCTGTGTGGTACTCCACTCGGCCTGTGATGATCACCAAGCTGTATACAGTAACCAGAGAGCTGGAGCCAGACCCTTAGAAAGTGGTCTCAAGTGCTTGTCGGTGAAGGAGCTGTGTTGATACCGCCTTCACAGGTGGGAGCCCTAGAGACCACCAGCCAGACAGGCTGAACTCAATGGCAAGTCACAAAGGAATAGAGCCAATGAACAATTTTTGTCCGGTGGAAAATAGCATTTTAGGGTGGGAACAGGTACGAGACACCCCTCCCTCAAAAAATCAAGTTCATCCCAGGCCCAGGCCAAAGCACAAGTCTTGCAATTGGTGATTCTGTCAGGTAGCTTTGGCCATATCATGGAACCACTTAGCGAAGAGCAGTTAGTTAAAATTTGACTAGGTGACCTTGGTCTTGGATAGACCATCTTGTTTATGAGGCCAACTGTTTCAACTGCTTCCTATTCACCCTTTTGGTGAAGGAGGGGTTCCTACCCTGGGTTACAGAATGATCAAACCCAGAACACCTGCCACTCAATGAGGAGATCTACATGAGTTTGTCAGTCAGGCATCCTCTCAGACCAGGTGAGGAAGACACTTCTGGCCATACAGGGCCACACAGGCAGCATGGTTGGGAGCAGCAGGAAAGATCAGGGGCCGTGAGGAGCAACTCTGCAGTATTGAGGGGGCAGCGACCCCTGTTTGCTGAGGGAGGGTGTGATGGGCTGGTCTGAATACTTCCCAGGGCTGGCGCAGGGGGAGAATGTTGCTGCTCACCGATAAGCAGGAACTTGCCTGGTCCCTTGATAAGGACCGTAAGGCTAGAGGACCTCATCTGTGGGAGCACAGTGGGGAGGGAAATTTGTAGTTAGGACATTTGAGCCCTTCTTGGTCTTGAATATCAAGAGCACTGAGAATATTGGGCCTTAATTTCAGGCCACAGTTACTATTAATATAATTTAAAATATATTGAGGACACATAAAAACAATTCAAAGGTTCATTAATGGTGATTGTGGTTTCAGTACAGAGATATACCACTGACAAAAACAGTACAAAAAAAAGATATTATAAAGGGTAATGAGGAACTTAAGATAATTCTAAAAAAATAATGCTTAAAAAAGGAAAAAGCTATAATTGAAAATATGCTTAGTTGTTGTCAACATAAAAATGCTGAGACTGCATCCCCCACCTCCACCTCTGGTATGGGAAAACTGATAACGAATGATGTTTTTACTCATCTATATTGCTAAATGTAGGCAGGGCTTGTTTATTTATTTATTTCCTTAATACATTTCATATTTTAGAGTAGTTTTAAAGTTACAGAAAAGCTGAGCAGAAAGTACAAAAAATTACCATAACCCTTCACCCTCCCTCCTTCAGCTTCCCGATTATTAACATCGTACATTACTGTGGTACATTTGTCACAACCGATGCGCCAATACTGATACATACTATTAGCCGAAATCCATGGTTTACGTTAGGATTCACTGTGTTTTACATTCTATGGCGTTTGACAAATGTATAATACACGTATGCAGCATCACAGAACCCATATTTTTCACTGCTCTAAAAACCACCTATCTGTCCCTACCTTCCCCAAACCCCTGGCAACCCTCCATCTTTTTACTGTCTCCACAGTTGTGCCTTTTCCAGAAGGTCATATACCCACAAACATACAGCATAAAGTCATTTCAGACTAGCTTTCTTTCACTTAATAATATGCATTTAGGGTTCCTCCATGCCTTTTTATGGCTTGATGCCTCGTTTCTTTTTATCATCTGAACACCATCTCTTGCAAACCTGCTATAATTATTAGTGTCGTGAAATTTTTGTTGTTTCTAAAAAGACAATAAACTTTATTTCTTCCTTCCCAATCTGTATACCCTTTATTTCCTTGTCTCATTACATGAGCTAGGACTTCCAGAATGATGCTGAAAACTACTGTTGAGAGGGGATGTCCTTGCCTTGTTCCTGATCTTAGCAGGAAAGCATCCTTTTTTTAGACACTAAGTATGATGTTAGCTGTAGGATTTTTGTAAAAGTTCTTTATCAAATTGAGGAAGTCACACTGTATTCTTACTTTACTGAAAAGTCTTATCACAAATGGGAATTGAATTTTGTCAAATGCTTTTTCTGAATCTATACAAATGAGCACTTTTCATCTTTAGCCTGTTAATGTGATGAATTACACTGATTTTTTAATATTGAACCAGCCTTGCATACCTGCAATAAATCCCCCTTGGTCACGGTATGTAATTCTTATTATACATTGTTGGATATGATTTGCTAATATTTTGTTGAGAATTTCTGTATCTGTGTTCATTTGAAATATTGGTCTGTAGTTTTCCTTTCTTGTAGTGTCTTGCCTGGTTTTAGTATTAGGGTAATACTGGCCTCATGGAATGAATTAAGAAGTATTACCTCTGCTTTTACCTTCTGAAAGATACTGGAGAGAACTGGTGTCATTTCTACCTTAAACGTTTGGTGGAATTCAAACCAGCGAACACATCTGGTCCTACTACTTTGTTTCAGGTTATTAATTAATGATTCAATTTCTTTAATGGATATATTCCTATTCAGGTTTATCTTGTGTGAGTTTTCATAAAATGCATCTTTCAAGGAATTGGTCTATTTCAGCAAGGTTGTCAAATGTACGGGCAGGGCTGTCCACTACATTTCTCTCTAATTCTTTTAACGTCCATGGGATCAGCGGTGATAGCCCTACTTTATTTTTTGATATTAGCAGTTTGTGTGTCTTCTCTTTGTTCTTAGTTAACCTGGCTAGAGATTTATCAATTTTATTGACTTTTTCAAAGAATCAGGTTTTAGTTTTACTGACTTTGTCTTTTCAATCCCACTTATTTTTACTCTAATTTTTTTCAGCTTACTTTGAATTTAACTTGCTCTTCTTTTTCTAGTTTCCTAAGTTAGAAACGTAGGTTATTTGTGTAATCAAAGATCATTAGATTGTGTAACGTTAAATTGCTTGTACAATCTGATTACGTGACATAGCATATGACCTTTACACTGTCAATCCAAGCCCCACTCCAGCTGGATTCTGACCCTGTTTCAGCCTCAACCCTCCTACTTACATTGTCAAGTCTCTGAGGGACCGATTCCCTCAGAACACTGGACCCTGAACTGGCAGTCCTGCAGGCCTAAGCAGCACCTAGTGCACCTAGTCTGTGTGTGTGGGTCTCCTTCCTGGGCCCTATCTTAGAGGGCAGCTGCTTACAGAAGGTTTGGACAATCACTCAGGCTGAGGCTGGAGTGTTGACTCATGTACAAGGCACTTCATGGCAGGTGATAAACCATGGATAATAAGAGAAAGGGAGTAATGTGGAGAAGGGCCTAAATCTTCACATGAACAGAATGCTTTTTTTTTTTTTTTTAACATTTTGATATTTTGATTTATAACTTTTAAATGGTTAGACATTATCTCTGTGGGTCTCCTTTTAAATTGTTGCTCCAGGACCTTAGAAACAATGGGGATGGGCCTGATGTAAGAACTACTAACCCAAGGATACCTACTTCCTATTCACAATTACGTTAAGTTCCATCATGTGTATGAAGTAAATACACAGTATATATATAAAGAACCATTACTACGTACATAAGTCCCATACACCTCACGGACAATTAACATGTGTTTAATATTATTGCCCTGATTGTTCCATTTATCTATGCTTTTAAAAAGTTTCATATTAAAGTGGTTGCTGGATGTAGGGTTGCAGAAAGGGTGTGGTTATTAATACAAGGGAACTTCCTGCACTTAATCCTGATTTCCTTCGTGAATCTTGATGCAGTATAGATCCCAGATTCTTTTTTAGTTCTGTTGACTAGTTTTGTTGATGGTTACTTAATTCTGCAACTGGTAAAATTTGATATTAATATAACTACACACACACAAAGGGTTATGTAAACCCTGGTGAAACATGAATAACGTCTGTATCTTAGCAGCATGGTATTATCAAAATTTCTTCTATCTGAGCATATACTATGAACATGTAAGATATTATAATTAGAGGAATCTTGCTGAAGGGCATATAGGAATTCTCTGCACTCTTATTACAACTTCTCGTAAGTCTATGTTTTTTGTTTGTTAAATGTTAATAAAAACTTTTAAAAAAATTTTTAAGTTTTAAAGCTTTACATTCCACTATATATATATATATATATATACACACACACCATACATACATATAAAATACTGTTTGTTATGCTTCCTAAACACTCCTATGACATCAAACCCAAAACACAACTTGTATATATTACTTTTAAGCAAAATTTTCAATTTATATTTATTTAATTGGCAAATTTCTCCCTTGACACAATCCTGATTGTATTTTTGCTAAAAGCTTCCAAAAATTCACAAAATCTGTAAGGTTTTATACGAGTATTAACCACCTCACATTCAATGGACTATCACTTCTTAACAAATAATTATTGTAGTCTATGGATTTATCCCTATCATTACTTTGGACTAAAATAAAGCCAGTTTGTGGATGAAGGTTACTGAGCATTTAGGATGTCAACAGAGCTTCCTCCACAGTGTTAATATTCTTACAGTGTCATGGAGGCTGACTTGTAGCTGAACATTTCTAATATTCATTTCATTCAAAAGGTTTTTCTCCTGTGTGTGTTCTCTGATGTACAATGAGATTTGACTTTTGAGAGAAGGTTTTTCCACATGTGTTACATTCATAGGGCTTTTCTCCTGTGTGTGATCTCTGATGTTTAGCAAGGTCTGATTTACGGTAAAAAATTTTCCCACATTCATTACATTGACAAGATTTCTCTCCTGTGTGAGCCCTGTGATGAACTGTGAGGGATGATTTGTGACTGAAGGATTTCCCACATTCATTACATTCATAGGGTTTCTCCCCTGTGTGTTTTCTCTGATGTAAAATAAGTCCTGACTTCACACAGAAAGATTTTCCACAATCATCACATTTATAGGGCTTTTCTTCCGTATGGGTTCTCTGATGTACGATTAGAGCCGACTTATGGCAGAAAGCTTTTCCACATTCATGACATTCATAGGGTTTCTCCCCTATGTGAATTCTCTGATGCTGAGTGAGTTGTGACTTCTGGCAGAAAGTTTTCCCACATTCATTGCATTCATAGGGTTTCTCTCCTGTATGTGTTCTATTATGTTTGGTTAGGTAGGATTTATTGTAAAATATTTTTCCACATTCATGACATTCATAGGGTTTCTCCCCTGTGTGTGTTCTATAATGCTGAGAGAGGGTTGACTTATGGCTGAAGAATTTCCCACATTCAGGACATGCAAAAGGTTTCTCTCCTGTGTGAGTTCTCTGATGTACTGTGAGGTCTGACTTCAAGCAGAATGTTTTCCCACATTCATAACATTGATAAGGCTTCAACCCTGTATGAATTATCTGATGCCTGGTAAGTACTGATTTGTGGTAAAAAGTTTTCCCACATGCATTACATTCATACGGTTTAACCCCTATGTGAGTTCTCTGATGCTGTGTGAGATGTGACTTTTGACAAAAGGATTTCCCACACTCAGAACACTCAAAGGGCTTCTCACCTGTGTGAGTTCTCTGATGTATTATAAGGTGTGAATTCATACAGAAGGATTTCCCACATTCGTAACATTCATAGGGTTTCAGCCCTGTGTGTGTTCTCTGATGTTTAGTGAGGTCTGACTTCTGGTAAAAAGTTTTCCCACATGCATTACATTCATAGGGTTTCAGCCCTGTGTGTGTTCTCTGATGTTTAGTGAGGTCTGACTTCTGGTAAAAAGTTTTCCCACATGCATTACACTGATAGGGTTTCTCCCCTGTATGTGTTCTCTGGTGTAATGTGAGGGCTGACTTCTGACTAAAGGATTTCCCACATTCATTGCATTCATAAGGTTTCTCCCCTGTGTGTGATCGCTGATGTTTAGTGAGGTTTGACTTCTCCCAGAATGTTTTTCCACATTCATTACACTGAAAACGTTTCTCTCCTGTGTGCACTCTCTGATGACGAGTGAGATGTGATTTCTCCCAGAAAGCTTTCCCACATTCATTACATTCAAAGTGTTTCTCTCTTTTATCAGCTTTCTGAAATTGTGACAGATACAATTTCTTCCTGTAATTATTCTCACTTTCATTATATTCATAGTGTTTCATATGTACCCCATGATGTTTCAAAAAGGTGGACTTCTCATGTAAGGATTTCTCACAATCACCAAACTCATAGTGATTCTCCTTTGAAGGAGGTATCTGATGGAACAAGAGGGATGAGTCATCACAGAAAGTTCTGCTGTATTCACTAAATTCACAGCCATTCTCCTCTGTGTTCTCTCTCGTGTGTGTATTAAATATTGACTTTTCAAGGAAGGTTTCCTGACACGTATTATGTTCAAATTTTTGTTCTAAAGTTTGAATCTTCTGATGCTGCATAGGGTCCTCATGATCACTGAAGGTTTTCCTAATGTTAAACCATTCACTTTTCTCTCTAGTATGAGTTTTTTCCTGCTTAATACTGAGTAGAAATTTTCCACAGGCATTAAATTCATTAGGCTTTTTTCCTAAATAGTTGTTCTTACTGACAACCAATTCTGAAACATTGTTGAAACTCATTCCACATGAGTTACACTGAGAGAGTATTTTTCTGGAAGGAAAACAATTTATGTCCAAGTCAAATGGTTTTCCTATTACATTACCTTGTACCTTAGTCAGCATTTTGTTATTCATGACTACAACTTTCCACAAATGTGTAGGTTTGTTTTCTTGGTTCCTCTCTTTCAGATGATCAGCTTTCCAAATGTCTAGAAATAAGAAAAATTGATCTTACCATATGAATACTAACACATTTCTTATGAAATGAGACCTCTACACAAATGGCCTATCACAGCTGACTCTGGTTGTTTTGTTCAATTTCCAGGAAAGAAAATAATTGTAAGTGCATAGTTTTTTTTCTATTTCACAGGTTTGAGGTAAAAAAATAAAAACAAAAATCAAAAAGAAAAGGCCTGGCATAGTGGAAAAGGGAAGAGGAATTAAGTTATTCGAACACATACATTTGGTTTTCAATGTATAAAAGATAACAGCAACTGCTTAAATATAATTTCTCCATGCGTCCCCCAAAAAATTATGAGGATTAACATAAGGAAAATAAATAAGATTATCTATAACAACTAATGACTGTAGCATTAAGTAGGAGACAAAGAATACTACTAACTTCAAATTGCCACTAAGGAACATTCAAATAAAAAAAGACAGCCCACACCTATAAAGAGACTCAACTGGAGACTGTGGCAATCACATGGAATAGGAGAGACAGAGGGCTCAGAGGTGATGAGACACAAAGTTACTCCCAGAAAGGGAAATTTCCACTCTTGAGTGGGAAAATACTGAAATGTCATCTGAGTTCAGGTAGATCAAAGTTCAGGCTACTGGAAAATCCAACAGAAGGGACTTGGAGTACATGGGAACTAAAGAGGCAAAGGCTGACCAGACTCAGGAATGAAAATAGGATGTAAATTATAAGGAACTTGTTAAGGATTAAACTGCATCCTCCCCAAAATTTATATGTGGAAGCCTTATCTCAAAATATAGGGTCTTTCGGGAGGTAATTAAGATTAAATGGGCTTATACGGATAAGGCCTTAACCTGACAGGAAGACTCCAGAGTGCACGTCTGCTCTCTCCAAATTCCCCCAACCACAGTGCACAGGCACAGAGAAAAGACCATGTGAACAATAAATTTCTGTCATTTAAGTCACCCAGTCTGTGGCATTTTATTATAGCAGCCTGAGATGTCTAATACAGAGCCCAAGGCTAAAATAGACTTGAATGAAATTTTAATAAGTAGCATCAAAAAGGGGCATGAAAAGAAAAAAAGGAGCAGCAACAACCAAAAAAGACTAAAAAAGAAAACTGGATCAGAAAGGTCTGGATAAATAGTCTGTAACTAACTAAATAAATAAAATTATCATGTATTATATATAAATTATTGCAGTCTCTAAAGAAGAAAACAGAAAACAATGGAATAAATCTAATATTAAAACTATAATCTGGCCAGCCGTGGTAGCTCAGGCCTGTAATCCCAGCATTTTGGGAGGCTGAGGTGGCAGAATTGTTTGAGGCCAGGAGTCTGAGACCAGCCCGAGCAAGAGCAAGACCCCATCTCTACAAAAAACAGAAAAATTAGCTGGGTGTGGCAGCACATGCCTATAGTCCTAGCTACTCAGGAGGCTGATGCGGAAAGATCACTTGAGCCCAGGAGTTTGAGGCTGCAGTGAGCTATGACTGCACTGCAGTACTCCAGCCCAAGTTAAACAGCGAGACCCTATCCTTTCACCAAAAAAAAAAAAAAAAACCCAATCAACAAAAAAAAAACCCACTATAAT